CAAATAAACCCAACAAAAAGACAAAGGAAAAACTCCACTTCTATCCTTGTAGGGGAATTTTCGAGTTCCAGTATCAAGTACAATGTAAACACCGTTTTGCCAAGAAGTTTTGTCTTACCTGTTCATTGTCCACCAGTTCCGCTGACCCTCTCCTAGATGTTATCTTTGAAGACTTCCTGGATAAACTAGGACCTGGTTCCTTGTGGTGAATGGTAGAAATCAAATATTGATCTCGTGATTTAACATGGAAGGTGACATGGAACGGTAGGAATAATACAATATTGATCACGAGGTTTGACAAAGGATAAATAATAACAACCTTACATTCTCATTTTAAAAATCCAAAAATGAAAAATGGACTCAGACTTGTGAAGATCTTGACCTTTGCCACAAAGGAAAAAAGTCCCTTGTCAACAACCTCTCGGGAGAAAGACAAAAAAGCAGCCCCAAATCTTTTTTCCTTTCAGGCAACACCATCGCAGAAAACCAGAAGAAAGCCGAACATTTTAACCGGTATTTCGCCTCTGTAAACAGGGCAAGTAGACTAACTGAGGCTGATAGATTCCTCATAAACAAGGCTAAGCACGAAGAGAAAGCCCCTACTGTGAACAACACCCTTTTTGAGGAGGACTTCAGCATGATGGAACTTGGACAGCCCCTCAAAAAATTAAAGCAAAAGAAAGCCCCAGGACCAGACAAAATACGCAAAGAAATACTGTGCAACCTTGGTGCTAAAGGAAAAGATGTCATACGCCGCTTAGAAAATACCACGTGGAGAACGAGCGGAATACTAAATGTATGGAGGATCGCCCAGACCATACCGCTCCTAAAGAAGGGGAAACCACCTGGAGAAGCGAAGAGTTATCGACCTATATCACTAACATCATGAATCGGTAATCTTGCCGAAAGAATGGTGAACAACCGCCTTTACTGGTACCTGGAAAACCCCAACAGCTTGAACCCACACCAAGCAGGCTTTAGAAACGGCAATCACACAGAAAACCAACTTTTCAAACTAAGTCAAGACATCCAGGATGGTTTCCAGGAGACTAAACACACTGTTGCCATCTTTGTAGATCTCCAACAGGCGAACGACAGAGTGTGGAGAAAAGGCCTACTCATGAAATCGATGGAACTCGGGATACACGAGAAACTTTATAAATGGATTAAGTTTTTCCTCGCGGATCGAAACATCGAAACAAAGGTGAACAATGCCCACTCGCCACGAGAAGTGCTCGAGGAAGGCCTACCTCAAGGTTCCTGTCTGAGATGCACTTTGTTCCTGATCTTCTTTAATGATGTGACGAACGTGCTGAAATCAGAAAAGACTCTCTACGCTGATGATCTTGCTCTCTGGCAGACACATCACAGCACGGTAGTAGGAGCAGGAAAATTAAATGAAGACCTCAAGAGGCTCCACAGTTACTGTCAGAAATGAAAGCTCAAAATAAACTGCTCGAAAACAGTAAACACAATCTTTACCAAGAGCCATAAAACAGCCAAAGAAAAACTCCAACTGAAGATAGGAAATGAAAATCTCCCCAAAGAAAAACAACCAACGTATCTAGGAGTCAAACTTGACCAAAGTCTAACAATGAAAAGCCAAGCGGAGAGCATAAAGAACAAGGCGAAAAAAAGACTCCAACTTTTAAAGAAACTCGCAAGCAGTTCATGGGGATCAGACAAACAAACTCTGAGAGCTCTGTACCTTGGTTATGTTCGATCTTCCCTGGAATACAGCAATAGCCTACTCACTATGTGTTGTGCAACTACTTGCAATACCCCTGACAAGGTCCAAAATAATGCCCTTCGTTTCATAAATGCCGCATGTGAAATTCTGTCAAATGTTGAACCCCTGGGAATTCGCAGAGATAAAGCAGTTTTGGAGCTCCATGAAAGAACCAAAAGAATGTGCCTCAACCACCCAAACAGAAAATTGGTAGAAACATGGAAACCAAAGAAACGACTTCAACAAAAATCCGTCATGCATCGCATCACAGAACTAATGGAGAGCCACCATCTACCACAAAACAGAAGAGAAACCAAAAAAGTCAACCGAAACATCCCTCCCCACATTTCTATGGAAAAACCAATCATTACAACTTCTCTCAGAGACAATAGCCCAAAATCTTCAGACCCAGTGAAGTTGAGGCTTGTATCACATCAAACAATCGACAGCTATTCAGATGACTGGATACACGTCTATACGGACGGTTCAGCATTCAAAGGCACAGCCAAAGCCGGATATGGAATACTAAGACAATACCCAGATGGAAGTTCAAATGAGATCTCTGCAGCCTGTGGAAAAAAATGCAACAACTACGACGCAGAAATGATAGCAATTGAAACAGTACAATGCCATCTCCGCACAGTTTTTGACACTCATTCAAACAAAACACAGAGTATAGTGAGTGATCTTCACTGACTCACTATCAGTCTTGCTAGCAATAGAAAATGACCACCATCTAAACGAAGACTTGACACATATACTGTTTGGCTCCCATCACCTGATAACATCCTGTGGCGTCAACCTGGTAATGCAGTGGATTCCCGGACACTCAAACATACCTGGAAATGACAGAGCAGACACACTCGCCAAAAGGGGATCTAGACAGGAACAACCCAACATTCTAACTTCATACAACACTGCAAAACAAATAATTAAAAGCAACAGCAAACAAGATTGGATGAACAGATAGGCCTTGGGAAAGACAGGCAGAGCTGTTTTCAAACATATGACTACAACAAAACCAAATGACAATATAACCACCTACAGAGAAAGAAACAGACCACGATCTTCCGCCTACGAACAGAACATATACAGCTAAACTTTCACTTGAACAGAATAAAACCAGAATTTCCCCCAAAGTGTCCTTTGTGTGACTATACATATGAGACAGAGGAACATCACCTGTTCCATTGAACAGCCCTAAATGACATCAGGGCCACCCTTCTCCCTCCGAGACCTAACATTGACAACACACTCTATGGAACATTACAGCAACTGCAGCAAACCTGCACTTATCACTACATGGCATTGGACAGAAGGGCGAGAGCCCAGATGTTGCTGGATCGATAACAACAACAACAACAACAACAACAACAACAACAACAACAACAACAACAACAACAGCAACAACAACAACAACAACAACAACAACAACAACAACAACAACAACCCTCTCATAAATTAAATCATTTATCAGAGATGATTCCAACTTATTTCGCAACGTTAAAAACAGCATAGTAGATAGAAATCTATTTCCCACAATACTTTAACAAACGCCTACTTAGCCAAACTTTTGTCCTACCTGGTCATTGTCCATGGGTTCCGCTGACCCTCTCCTGGACGATGTCTTTGAAGACTTTTTGGATGAACTTGGACCAGGCTCCTTTTGGTGAAAGGGAGACATTAAATATCTATCAAATAGTTTTACATAATTTTAAGGTTATGAATAAATCTGCTGTACACATCACTGGTGTGTTTTACTATTTTATTTCTCAATTCCCCTTTTAAGAAATCCACTTTTATTGATCCTAGTATTGAATTTTGGACTACAAAGACAATTGCAAGGTGTTCATAAATAAGCTCAAAAACTACAACACTTTCACACATGCGACAATATCAGATTCCACACGACATAAACATTCTGTAACTGGTCGCCGTGGTGCAGGGTCAACTTGTTGCTTTTTAACCCTATCCGTACGTCGTGTTTTACTATCGTATCCATACATCTTGGGAAACTCTGTGCCACCACTTAACCCTATCCGTACGTCGTGTTTTACTATCGTATCCATACATCTTGGGAAACTCTGTGCCACCACTTAATCCTATCCGTACGTCGTGTTTTACTATCGTATCCATACATCTTGGGAAACTCTGTGCCACCACTTAACCCTATCCGTACGTCGTGTTTTACTATCGTATCCATACATCTTGGGAAACTCTGTGCCACCACTTAATCCTATCCGTACGTCGTGTTTTACTATCGTATCCATACAACGTGAAGAACTCTGTGCACTACTTTCAAAGATGAAATTTACCGTTTAATCCGATCCGTACGCTTTGCGCAGCAAATGACTTTTTGAGAAATACTGAAATCTTCAAAGAGATCTCCGTACTAGAAGTAATGTGAAAAATACAACCCCGAGGGTACAAAATGACGTACGGATAGGGTTAAACTAAGGTTATTATAATAACCTGTCTTGTTCAAGGAGAATCCCTAGAGGCCACCGACCGTGTCTTCTACATTTCTCGGTAGTATTCATGAGCCTAAGTGAGGAAATTGTCTCTCTTTCTAGGTGATGAGTCTTTGTCCAGTGAAGCATTATACTTGTAATATCAATGTCACCATTAAAAAATAAGGAGTTTATCACCTAAATAACATGTTTGAAACGTAAAAGGTTTACTCATATAAATTATAACATCTTAGAAATGCAATGGGTTTACTCATGTAAATAACATCTTAGAAATGCAATAGGTTTACTCATTTATAAAACCTCTTAGAAATATAATAGGTTAAGTCGTATAAATAACATCTTAGAAATGTAACAAGTTTACTCATATAAATAACGACATTGCAAGGTGAGGAGTTTCCTCATTTAAATAGTATCATTCAGATTGAGTAGAGGTTTTACGGCGCTCGAAACTGCAACAGGTCATATGAGCGCCATAAATAGCATCATTGAAACGTAATACGTTTACTCATACAAATAACATTATTTAAAGGTGAGGAGTTTCTATTTGTCCACAAAACGCGCAAGACAGCAAAGTAGATTGGATCCACGTCCCTACAACAAATGTGAGGCAGCGTGGTGGAATCAGGCTCTCGTCAATTTTGGGGCATTTCAAGTTATTGGTATCATCTTAAAGCTTATTCACTCGTCTTTATTTGGATGAAAAAAATATCCATTTATCTTGAATACAAGTCGAGATATTTGTGAAAGAAGGACGTGGGGGTCACTTGTTTTCA